CCCCCGATCATGGAGGCCATCAGCTGAAGTGATCTTCCCCCCATGCCGCAGAGGCCTTCAGCCGAAACGGCCCCTCCCTCTCTGGGTTCATACCCCAGAGACCCAACCAACCAAATTCCTTCGACAACTTGCCTGACAGGATAACCTCCCATCAGCAGCAACAAATCCCAGTTTGAATGGTCGAGGCTCCCGCCACGACGAAACCCCGTTAGCGTTAGCAAAATTTCCGTTCTTATATTACGACCGTTTACCATTTCCAGCAATGCGTCTTGTGCGCAGGAATGGTTTCACCTAGGTAGGGACGATGCTTGCGCTTGCGCAGGCCTCTGCCCTCAGTTAGCTTCTTTGGTTGGTTGGTTGTCTATATTTACACATTATTTTTAGTTAAAAATAATACATAGATATTGTAGCGTGGGACGGTATACAACCTTGATTGTCAACCCTTGATTTCTTGCAGGGTCTACTACCTCAAATCCGATCTCAGTTGTAAACTTGGTTGGATTGTAAGAGACCACAAAGTCTTCCAGCAATAATGAATTTAATCAACTAAAACGTGTTTACAGCACAAAATAATCTCGTCTACAACACACTTCTCCTACAAGCGATTCACACTTCAGCTCTCTTCGCAGTATTTCTTGAACACTCTCACCTACTACACTACTCTCAAAGCCGATTGTCAATCGGCTTTTATACAAATACAACAATGTCTATGCAACAATTCCAATAAACAGACGTAACAATGTAGACACAACAATGCTAAACGCAACAATGTCAATAATAATACAACAATGCATGAATACAACAATGTCAAACAGTTCAACAATGCCAACCCCAACACATCACAATATAATTTGGTTACATTCCATCCTAACTGTAAAAAGCATAAATTAATATTTAATATTTTCTCTATAAGAAGGAAATAAATTTAAAAGTAATGAAAAGAGGCATGAAGACAATTTTACAATTTCATTTGCCCTTATTTAAAAATAACGTCCGGTTTCAGTATACTTTCCAGGGCGCTGTTGAGTCCATCCCTGGGTGAGAGAAAAATGTTTCCTTCGTTCGATTCCCGGCACAGATGTTTTTTGTTGTTCGGATAGTAAGCACTAGGGAAGAATGGCGCTAAGGCAAATTTCGTTTGTCCCTGAGAAAGGATCTGATTAACTAAGGTCACAAACCCGAAAACTGTCCTGAGTTCCAGAAGATGAATTTGTAAGAAACTGTCGTATTTCCCCTTAGTAAATACTGCAGAATCTACTGGTCATATGTAAACTCGAAAATCAGGATTCACGTGTTTCTTTACTCGTTCGCTTATGGCTCGTGAAGAAGAAACCTGGCGTGAGAGAACACTGGAAGGTCAGAACTCTGGGAAAACTGTCCTGAGTTCGATTTCCCACAAGGGCGGTTCCTTTAACTCCGAAACTAAACAAGATAAACAACGGCGCAGGAATCAGAGTTTTTACTTGGAAGAGGAGATTACAGAAACAAAGGCCTCAACACTGATAAACTGTCCTGGATTCGAGTCTGTTGATAGGATCGTAACTGCGATAAAAGAACGAAGCCAAGGCAAAATAACCCTTTTAGCCCCGAGGCCTATTTGCAAAATCCTGTTGAAAACACACAGGCCAATTTTCTCGTATTTATAGCTTAAAATGTAAAAATTCAACAAGATAAGAATTTTACACACATACATATGGAAAATGTCACACTTATACACTAAACACTGTAGATTAAGAAAGTAAATATCTCATAAATTCTAATGTTATAATTAGCTTACAAAAAAAATTAAATATTGAAAAATAATATTTATAAAAAAATCATTTTCAGGAGTTAAAATCGTAAATTGTGTTTTGTTTCCCTTCTTCATCACCCACCCAACAAGAAAGAGCATTTCTTTCTCCAAAATTTGATATGTGTTTGGTATCTGTACTGTTATCTGTTCCTGAAATACAACACTTTTTGTAAAACTAGAGCAGGGCGCTCCTTTCGGACATTTGACATTTGACATTTGGTCAAGTTTGTAAAACGCAACCAACCTTGGTTAGTCCCGAAGGGGAGTTAGTTTAGTGTCTCATTCAAGTGTTTTTACCCTTGAGTAAGAAACTAAACTAACCCCCCGAATGGGGGGTTTAAACACTTGACCAAAACACCGAAGGGGGTTGGTTGCGTTTTAAAATCTTGAGTAAGACACTAAACTAACCCCCGTGTATAAACAAATATAAGGTGATATTGTTGATGACGTCATTTTTTGACAACGATGGCTAATCCTTTCGGAGCGCTTCTTGTAATCTGATATTTTACTTCTTTACGTCGCTGATCAG